GACACTACGCCCGCAATGAGGACGAGATCAAGCGCCTCTTCATCGACACGGTCAAGGACCCCGGCTATGAGGAAATGCAGGGGCGCCTCCAGTCCGCAAGGTTGCGCTTTGCCTGGACAGCTTGTAAAGCCTTAAATTGTTGGACTCAGAGCGCGCCGCGGCCAGCATCCCCCCGGCTCCTACTGAACAGGAGCTTGAGCGTTTGAAGGAGGCCTTCTTCCGGCGTGACCATCTACGTCCGGAGCCCCGCCAATTTCCCTCAGACCGCCTTCTGTCCAAACTCAGCCGGCAGCTGACTCGCAATCAGTTTGAGGTCATGGATTTATGGACGGTGCGCTCCCTCACGTTCCAGCGCACCCACAGCCAGAAGCGTCGTCGACTGACCAGCAACCTGTACCTCCAGGAGGACGATGACGATGAGCTCACCACCAAGTCCTGGCTCTCCTACATGGCCAAGATGGATACTTACTTCTTGGCCCTTGCCATTGTGGGGCGTCGCCCCATTGAGCCGGCGCCGCCTGCGCCTGAGTCGCTCAGTTCTGACAGCCTGAGCTACGTCCAGGCGCCCTATGACGTCTTGCTGACCTACTCCAGCCGCTGCCATGACCTGGTTCTCCGCACCCCTGAAGGGCGGCGATTGCAGTTGCTCCAACATCTTGATGTTGAAGAGCGAGGCCAATGGGCCGCTCGGTACACGGGCAATACGACCCTGGGCACCATCATCAGCGCCGTCATGCGCGAGCGGGATGCTCTTTGGCTGGCCGGGGCCATGCCGGCACCCAGCATCGCCACCGGGCAGACGCAGGGCAGGTGGGCTCAGTGGTGTTCAGTCTCCGCGATGGGACGCAACTATGCCAGGCTTACCAATGCCGTACTAAGAAGAACTGCCCACGTGGCGCTCATCGTTGTGGAGTCGTGTTGCAATCTGGACGGGTGTGCGGTTTCAAGCAGCCTTGTGACACCCAGTGGGCCGCTCCTCTGCCGGGGGGGGGGCGAGGCCAATCGTTGGACACTCCTGTCTTTCACGACTTTCGTTCCTTTTTGGATGAGTTGGAGTCCATTGACATGCACAAGTCCGAAGCCTCACCATGCCCTGCCCTCCTTGACATTTTCAGCGGTGTCCATGCCCCCCTGTCCAAGGCCTTTTTGTGTGGGAGATCATCACCCCGATCGACATCGAGATCGACAGGACCTGGACGTGTCGCGTCCGGCGGTCCGTAGGGCTATTCGGGAAGTCCTCCCCCGGGTGGCCACTATCCCTGGGGCTAAGTTGCGCTACCAAATCTCGGGCCAGGGAGAAGCGCCCCGGACCTCCTCCACTACGGTTTGAAGGGTGTCCACGGGGACTCCAGGGTTTGGACTCTGTGCAGCAGGACCGGGTGGACGCGGACAACTACTCTAGTGACTATTTGTTGGCGTTGCAGCACTGGGGCCACCTTCAGAACCTTGCATGCCTCCGTGAGAATTCGCTGAGGTCACTACATTGGTGGGACCCGATTGAACAGTTTGTGTACCAGGAAGGTGATTGGTTCGATCTAGATTATGACGCCTGTGCTGCACAGCATGGGCTGCACGACATGGCTACGGCATTTTGCCCATTCCGAGGTTGCCGCCCATCACAACATCAGGCGATGTACGCCCTCTTCTCCACTTTGAGCCCTCGGAGTTGCGTGAAGATTTGATGAATGTCATGGGCTTTCACCTGGGCCTTTCCCCGCCCTTGGAGGACTCGTCCCACGTCCCCACACGTCAGGTTGCAGTTGATGTGTTGCAGATGCGGTCGCGCCTCACGGACGAGGACGTGTACATTGGACCAGGCCATTTCTCACATCGTTGGTCGTTGACACAGTGGCAAAACCCCTTCCGGGCGGGCGAAGGCCGGACGGCCCTAGAGAGTGTCCTTCACTATGCCAGATGGATTGCCGATCAAGATCAATGTAACATTCGTGGCATCTGGGTCTTAATTCATGCTAAAATTCATGCTAACTGGGTTGCAGATTTGCTGCTCCCACCCACCCTCCCACCACATGTATGATTGGCTGGCAGTTTATACAAACACCCCCACCCCCACCTCCCACCACATGTATGATTGGCTGGCAGTCTATACAAACACACTGAAAATAACATAGTGTTACTGTCTCTAATTTCAAAATCATTTCATTCAAATTCATCACATTCACAATCATCACACTCATGGCACCTACAGTATCACATTCATCATTCATTCAACTTCACATTCACAATCTTTGAATTCTTGGTCCCTGCCCAAGAGTGTCATGCAAGAGTGTCATCACACCCCTTTGCATCAGAAGCGCAACACTTGAGTTTGTGTCGAGCCTGAGGAATGAGAATGTGATCGAGTCCAAGGAATGAGAATGTGATGAATGTGATGAATTTGGGCGCTTTACTGCGCTGTATTTAGTGTGTGAGCTTTCCATGACTGAACAAAGACTTAAGGTTTGTGTATGTCACGCTTGTACATGTATACTCCACGCCATGTATACTGCGGTTCTATAAACACAGCAAGCAAATCGACACTGAGTGCCAGTTTGTTTCCACAAAAGCGTGTCAGAGTGTCTGTCTTTGTTTTCGCAAAAGCGTGTGAGTGTCTGTCAACGTTTCTGGAGTTTGTTTTCGCAAAAGTGTGTGAGCGTCTGTCAACCTTTAAGTTTGTGGTGCTCACAAGCGCATCCTTTTTTCCACCAGATCAGATTCACATTAACTCCCCTTTTGGGAAAATGCTGCGATCCTGGGAAACCGAAGCAGAACGCCATGTAGGCCAAGACCCCGACACGCCTTGCGTCGGAGATTATTCCAGCAAGACCATTGGGCGCGTCAGCGCCAACAATGACCACCTGACCATTCTGTCAACGCCAGGATCTGTGGACTCCAGTTGATGGAGACATTCAAGTGGCCTGCAATCTTCATCGCAAGCTATTCCAGGTCTGGGCTTCACTAACCAACCATTGGTTTACTAGGAGTGAGCTTGACTTGAGAACAGAGTAGACTCGATCCAATGCCTTGGTCCACGGAATGGCTCCCCGACTTTACATTGGCTTTTGACTTTTGGCAAAAGCATTGAAGCACATCAAAACCCCATGAAAACAAGTGAAACTTAGGTGCTTTCGATGGATGAGGGGTCATTGACACCGGAATCATTGGCCCTATTAATGAAAGGACATTAAACCAATAGAGTTGCACCCATGAAAACAATTATACGAACCTATCTAACACTAAAACTTTGGCCTTGTTGGAGGGACAGATCTTTGGTTAGTTGTTGGAGGGACAGATCTTAGGTTACTGAAGCCACATTCAGCACACAAAATCACACCAGCCACTTTCGTTTGACAGCCACCAGTGATTTCTATACAGCTGGAGGGGCTGCTGGAGGGTATTAAGCCGCTCCAAAATGAACGGCCTCAAATTTCCGATGGCCGATGTGTGATCTTGGTCGCCGCAAAAGGTGAAGGCGCGGAAGGCTTTCAGGAGCAGCCTTCCCATGGCCAAAGCATCAGGATGATGCCTGTAATGGTGAAGAGCTGCTTCCACCAAATCTGCAAGCTTTCCTGAAGATTGTGTGTTAACGACAGATTCAATCTCACCCCTCACGACGGATTCAAAATTACAAAACGGAACCACCCCGTTTTAAACCTCACCAAGTTGCGAGTGTTGGAGCGGATGTGCAAGATGTCCTCCATGCACTCGGTGATGATCACCTTGATGTGAAAAGATCCTGGGTAGGCAGCTTGACGATCGGCCACTCTGTGATAGTGCTCGCGAAGGTCAGTGAGCTGGTCGTTGGAGAAGGTGTCCTTCCTCAGCATTTAACATTTCAACTACCAAAACCACCTACCACAGGGGCAACACGAATCCTAATTGAAAACTCGCCAAACAAACTAATTGAAAATTTCATGAAACCCTGCCAGAGCTCATCAGCACTATCAAGTTCACCATGCGTTGCGCTTTGCCAGTTTGAGTGAAGTCATTCAACTCCTGGAGGAAATCAATCTGCCCAGCGCAAAGCGGCAGCCATTGCACACACGAAAAAAAAAACTGTACAGTGAGGATGGAAACTTGGTCCATCAAAAGTTCATCCATCCATCAAGAGTTCTTCATCCAGCAAGAGTTCATCATGTCTCTACTCATTTAGGAAAAGACCATGAAGCAAATAGCGCCAAAGCAAGCAGTTCATCAATTTTCCAACAAATGGCGGCTCATCACATATCGTTGGAGTACCAGCAGCGTTCACTGCCTGAAAAGGGAAGATTGTTCATACTAGATAATGATGTAAGAAAGGAAGGTGTGGAAAATAACATAACTAAAACTACTAGTGTTACTAGTAGTGGTGGTTCATACTACTGGTGGTAGTAATAGTTGTAAAAAAGTAGTAGTCGTCGTCGTAGGCGATTTTGACTGTGATCATTTGATTTTGACTGTGATCACTCTGATGGTGATAGAGGTGTAAGTGTGAAGGTTGCAAATGTTTGCGTCGATTTTGACTGTGATCACTTGATTTTGACTGTGATCACTCTGTTGGTGATAGAGGTGTAAGTGTGAAGGTTGCAAATGTTTGCAAAGCATTGTGAACAGGGAAGTTTATCGAATCTAGAATGCGCAAGTAGTTACAAACAACCGCCACTAGATGTTCAATCTATGAACACATCATTCTACTACTACCTGCTATTACAACAACTAATACTGCTATTACTACTTGTGCTACTACCACTATCACACAATGGAAATATTCAGAAGTTTGCCTGGAAAAGGTTCCAGCCGCAAGGTCTTGCAGGTCAAACAAAATGCTGCCCAAATGCAGGTCCAGCGCTGAGGGCGCAAGGACTAATTGCAATGCAAAACAAATGCAACAAATCGCAATCCATAACAATCACATCAGACTTCGGAATGTTGCACTTTTTTCCCCAAAGCCACCAAACCTCAACAGGCCCTTGCCCTGGTTTGTACTGCAGGTGGCTCCCAAAATGCAAATCCGAGCATATCCATCAATCAGCTCCGATTGAGCCATGGCCTTTTCTGGCCAGCATGATCCTGGACCTAAGATCACTTTCCATCCAAGCCGCGTTTGCCATCTTGAACTTCTGCTGATGCTTCCACTCAGAGTTGTTCTTGTGCTCCTTAAAGAAATCGCCCATAAACTTCTCCTGAGCTGCTGCTGTGAAACACACGACATTGACAAACATATGTAACATAAGAGAAACAGGCAGTGTAGTAGGCGCACACAGGTGGCATGAATGGACTGACTCATTGATGAATGCTGTCAAGGGACACGAGCATCTTTCAGGGTGAGAGGTCTGGAACTGGAAGAACTCGACTCTTCAGCAGCAGCTTCAGGGGCAGCGGCAACAGGTGGTGGTTCTGCAGGGTTCTTCGGCACTCCCTTCGATTGAAACTTGTTGTGCCAAATGTTGGAGTTCTCTATTGCCCGCAGGCGTCGCACCTCCTTGAGTTGCGCCTGCCCCTGCGGACTGAAATCCGCCAGTCGTGACCCTTTCTTGAAACGTGGATCCTGCAGCAAGTCCTCCTCTTTGTCAACCGCAACCTTCTTGTCATCAATCTCACACTCAACACCCGTCTTGTCATCCTCAGCATCATTCTTGACAACCTGGACATCCTTCTTGTTCTCGATCTCATCAGCCTCCTTTTTGGCACCATCACCACCAGTTGGAGCACCTGTTGAACCTGTTGAAGTGATGTTCTCGTCAATGTCGTCCTGGCTAGGAGTTTCGTCCCCCAAGATAAGTGTTTTTGCGTCGTCGATATAGCAATTTGGTAGCTGCGAACCATGGTTTGGGCTCTGAGAAGGACCTTTCGGAGAAGCTCCATTTGGCACCTGCGAATCATTGAGCGGGGTCTGAGAAGGACACTTCTGGGAAGCTCCATCTGGCACCTGTGAATCATTGAGTGGACTCTGAGAAGGACGCTTCGGGGAAGCTCCAAAGTCAAAGGCACTCTTTCGCTTCAACTTACTATTCCCAGGGAGCAAGGCGAGCATGGGGCAATGCGCCGCAGCAGTCAAGCTTTGCGAACATATCCCATCGTGTCCTACCTGTTCCAACGACAATGCAGGTGTCTATGGCCAGGCCAGTTGTGACCATGCCAGAAACTGCGTGTCCAAAGACTCCTCCAGATTCTGAGTTTTCTGCCCACCACTGAACTCAATATCCTCATCGGAATCAATCACGTGGGTCATTTCCACAGAAGCTCAAAAATATAGCCGACGAGGATGTGTTCGCAAGGCTTTGATCCACAAGACTGACCAACAGCACACAGGAACAGGTTATGAAAGATAATGGTTGTGATGGCTTCGAAAAAGCTCAAAGACTGATTTTGAATCAAACGATTGAATGTGACTGAAAGTGGTTTTGACAAAGTAACATCAACATCAAATAGTTGAGATTGAGCAAAGGGTGTGAGAATGTAACGGCACAGATATTTTCCTCATCGTGATCGGAGCTGGACCTGTTGGCTGGACAACGTTTGTCCCTAGTACCCTGACAGTTGACCTCAACAGATCAAATCAAAACTACTACAGGTGTGTTCAGTGGGCAACAACAATCATCATAGTGCGACTATGAACTACGAAACAGGACTTTCAACTCTTCTAGAGACCATGTTTCAAGCCACTGAAATGCAAAGTCACCTTTGCACACACTAAGCTGTAAAAACTCACACGATTCGCTGAACTCCATTCTTGTCCAAGCTCAGGCCTTCCACGAGGAACCACAAAGGCTTCGCTGGGGCAACCATAGACTCGTTCTTGTAGATGCGAAGCCTCCATGCCTTGTATCAGAGCACATATTTTCTGGCAGTCAGCCCCTGTCGCATCAGATTCGTATTTAAACAACCATTGTATAAGCTGCTTCCAAAATGCCAACTTCAGGGCTGGGCTCTCTCCCAAGCTCTGAGCGGAAACGAAGCTTGCTGCATTGGAATGCTTCAAGCTCTTCAGCTGCACTGAGTTGGCTTTCCAACACATGAAGGAACCGTCTTTGGGAGAAATGTTGAACCTTGGATTTGTTCCAGGCAGTAAACACACACAGTGAACAATCGACATTTCCTTGATAACTTAAAACCTAGCTGACACACTGTGAACAATCGACATTCCCTTGATAATTTAATGAATCCTAGCTACTGGTCGTCTGCATCGCCTGATGGACGCTGGGCTGTATGGCCGCCCAACTCAAAAGTCGACCAGGCCAGATGCCTCCACGGCTTGGAGGCATTCACGGAGAGTCTTCAAAGAGCTGTCTGACCCATCCTCTTCCTGTCAAATCAAAGTAAAAGTAAAGTCGAAGTAGAAGTAAAGCAAGTAAAAGTACAGGCAAAGTAAGTCAAAGTAAAGCAGAAGAAAAGTCAAAGTCAAGGCATTTGCAACAACATCACTCCCAACCCCATCGAACAGTCATTGTTCATACATCAAATGACCCCCTGCCTCCAGAATGCACAGGTGCTGGTCGGACTCAAACTTTGCAACATGAGCCTTGTCAGGGCTGTCTTGCAGCATCTTCTCAGCTTTGGTGTCAAGGAGCCAGGAGCCTGCTCCATGTGACAGAACCGGGCCCTCATTGCAATCAAATGTTCCAGCGACTGGAGCACAAAGGAAGAACTTGGGCCCTTCAACGACTTTGATCACAAAGCCACTGCTTCCCGGAGCACTGATGGTCGATGACGGTTCACCGTACTTGGCCACCAAATCTGTAAGAGCGCGAGGCTCACCTTCAAAGATGTGCTTCCAAGGACTTGCATCCGTGGCAGGCGAACCAGCGGGAGTTGCAGGAGCAGTCGCGGGAGGCGCGGGAGTCGCGGGAGCAGCAGCAGTTGACGCGCTTCCATGCAGCTTTTCAAAGCTCTTGAGCAGTTTCTTCCACTCTGCAGATCTCAGCGGGTCACCAAGAAACTTCTGCCGCGCATCACTGGGGATGGTCAACTTCCCCTCGACTTCCTTGCACACAAGCAAGTCTGGAGGAGTCACTGTATCTGGGAGACTTGGGGAATCTGGCACACACCTGGCACCCTTGATCATACCTGAGTCCCTCTTCCATTCCTCCAGCAGGTGGCTGCACAAAAGTTTTGACGCCAGCTTGTGGCACGCCAAGTCCATGGTGAGGCCGATCACAGGGCATGAAAGCTGCACCGCAGCCTTTTCCCAAGCTGCGTCATAGCTTGTGGCATGGTAGATGATGGTATGTTTCCCACCTAAGCAGTGCAAATCAAATCGATGTGGCTGCAAACAACGTTGATTCTGTACATAGTATGTTTTTGATTTTGCTCTGATTTCACTATGACTGTGATTGCAAATTGCAAAGGAGATTGTGACAGAACTTGCACACAGTTGTTGTCGTTGTTGTTGTTGTCGTGCATTTGTTTTGTGATATTGACGATTTTGACAAGATGACAAGTCGACAAGTTGAGGGCAGCACTGACACCACCAACACCCAAAGCTTCAAGCATCTTGAGTGGAATGTCGACACCTGACAACCATTGCGCGGTCTCCTAGGCCAGCTGCCCTTTGGTAACTGGGGCAACATACTCGCTCTCTGCGAGTGGGCTCGGCAATGGGTCAGGCAAGCTCTGGTAGCGCCAGGCATGTGAAGCCACGAACCTCAGTATTGACACATGAAACCAACATCGCAAAACAACTGTCAGGAGCAATCATGAGTTGATCAGATTCCTACACTAATCAGGTAAAGACTCCAGTCAAAATCAACCACAACCAATCAGATTTGATATTTGTTTCGAGCTACGCATTGATGTCTTCTTTCCCTGGCTTTGCTGGTGACGACTCAGAACCGCCACTGTGACCAGACCTTGGGAGTCTGTAGTTGACTCCTTTCAAAGGCAATGTGTGATCTGGGACGACCAACATCGAGCTATAGCAAGCAGGCTGTTCTTAGTTTCCATGGAGGTTGCTCAAATTGATCGCCAAGTGGAACGGCCGGAGCGCCAGCTGGTATTGCAACAGCTTATCTTCGATCCTCCTTGCGCCACTTGACAGAGTGCAGTCAACCAAAGGACTTCCTTGAACCACTTGACAAACAGTCAGCCAAAGCAAGAAGCAAACAAAATCATTCAGTCCTTTGGTCCTGCCGTAGTGATGCTCCAGCAGCAGTGCCAGTGAGAAGTGGACAAATGACCACACCGATAGCACCTGATGCTGACGTTTACAATGTGGCTGAATGCGACAACGCGCGGCAAATGTGAAAGCAAATGTGGCCGACATTTTGAACGCAACCCGTCCAAGATATTGAAGTTTAGGTACGGAGGGGGTTCTTGGCGAGAACGTTCGACATCCACTGTGCATGTTGGTTGATGTCTTGTTGCCCGACGCAGCCAAGCTTGGTAAAATCAATCGCAGCCAAATAATGGAGATCATCCATCGCAATCTGGCAACATTTGAAAGAACTGCACTTTGGCAATGTTTGAACAAACACAAGCAAATTGTTGAGTATGCAGTGGCAGCTCAACACAGTACTCAACAGGCCTGCCATTCTGCAGCGCTCCTCCTGCAGAACTTCTCGGATGACGGTGCGTTGTTGATGTCTGGGACCAGTTGAATCATGCAACTAGTGTCGCAGAACTTTTCCACAAGCCTCAGTCAAAAGAGTTTTCAAACGAACTTTTCCAGTAAAGTCAAAAAGTGTGCAAAAGCACCCCCAAAAAAGCGTGGAAGGAACCAAGTAGATCTTGAGCCAAGTAAATCAAGGAACTCCAGCCCCTTAGCATTTTGCTCCTTTGCATGCTGAACTTCAACAACATGCGCCAGGCTGGCTCGCTTGGTCTTCGCTGCGTTGAAAGCCGTCCATGCGCATTCATCCTTCCTGGTCAGGGTACATGGAACAACACCAAACCATGAGTTATTGAGTTATGAACCACCACTACAAAGTATCAAAACAACAGCTGTCATGAGAAACAAAGCTACGCCAAGGTTCGCAATTTTTGCCTTAAGTGATGCAAAGGCTGCATTTTCCAATTCCTCTTCTTTCTCCTCCACAGTCTTTTGATCAACAGCAACTCCCATTGCTGTCGCCGGCGTCTCCCTTTGCACCATCTCAGTCCACAAGCAAAGGTTTTTCACAGTCCATCTGGCCGGCTCTGCCTTGATGATGGCTTCAATCTCTTCGAAGTAGTCCCTAGCGATAAGTACCCAGGCTAAAAATTGACTGTGAGTCGGGTTTGTGTTCGCTTGGTATGTATATATATATACCCTGGAAAATATTTACCACGTACTACCCCTTACTACCCAAAAATGTAGTGAACATGAGAGCAAGTGTACACAGTTTATGTACATGTTTACCGAACATATTCTGATTCAGAACTACGATTGCGAAACCAAGATTGAGAAACCAAGATTCGGGGTGGAGTGTATCATGTTTTGCTTCCTCGCGACATCTGCTATAGTTTCTGAATCAGGCGGTAGTTTCCGAACCATAGTTTGATGTTGCATACACATTCAGTTAGATACAATAAGGAATAACTGTACCCAAAATGATTCTGTGAGTCATCAGTTGGTTTTGAAAGGGTCACATGATAGACCTGAGTGTGACAAAGTGTTGAGTTGTTGAAACCTGTGATTTACGAATTATCCTGTGATTGGATGAGTCTGAGTGTGATTGGATAGAACTCTATAGATTAATTTGCGCCAAGAAACAGGTCCAGAAATGCCTTCTTGATGGTTTCCAAATCCGGAGCGTCTGCCAAGAGAGAAGCTTCTTTCAAGACATGTGCGTAGATGCAGGCGAAATTGATGTATGCGTCCCAGTCTTGCGCACCTCAGCCTGCACCGCTGCCTCTGGTTCGGTCGGACTTTTCGCGTCTTGAGGTGGAACTGGTGAATAGACCAAGGCCAGGAACATCTCCTGCGAAGTCTCCGTGACTGTGAGCAAGACTTTGAAGTGAGGCTGGCATCCACGCGGCACAGCTTTCAGAAGCCATCTCGGCTTTCTCAAAAGCTCCGATGTGAGGGCGGATTGGCTCCACTTGAATTTGTGAAGATGGTTGGCAATGAGTTCCCTGGATCCCGCCGATGTTGCTGTAATCATGTTCAGGATGCTGTGGACCTTATCTTCGTCCAGGAACCATTTCTGCAGCATCCCATTCGTAGAGTGGAACTCCTGGACCACCTTACGAAGGCGGTCTTCCGCCGACCAATCCTTCGAATGTAGGCCCTGCATGGACCGAGTTTCCATGATGGCGGAGAACCGTAATGACATTTGAAGGACATTCGGCGGCTGGCGCTCGCCGCCGCGAAAGCCCAGCATCATGTTGGTATAGCTGGATGCAACAGCATCCATGTTCATCCTGACCTCAGGAAAGCCCAGATTGAAAATCACAAGTGAAAGCAACATTCACAATCACATCATTCTCAAATATGCCTCTTGGGGTTACACATTCATTGACAATCACAATCACAAATTATTGAAAACATCACAATACCAGAATCAATCAGGCCACACAAGTTCATATGTAAGATCATGAATCCAAGGCGCATGGACTGGCAGTAGCCACCCCTTGTCCAAGATGTTCGCAAAAGGCTCCAGAACCTTCTCGCTTTCAGGCGTGATGTCATTGTCGCTTGCAAGCAACAGGCCAAATGCGATGCACTGAACCTTGGTCTACCCTTTGACTATGCGGATGCTCAGTGGCGTTATCTCGGCTGACTGTCCTGTCTCCAAAATTTGATCTCCAAACATGGTCTCTCGCGCAATGTTTTGGATACTGGGGATACATGAACATTTGCACGAGGCTGCTTGCGCAAGATGAAAGCAAAAAGCAAGCAGTCCTGCAGGCACATCCACCTTGGCTCACCAACAGCCAAATGAAACAGTTATGATGTCAAACTCACTACAGTCACACATGCGCAACCCACCTTTGGACAACTCCACCCCTGAAAACAGCATCCCTCCAAAGACCGTGAGCCAATCTTCCAGAACTGGCAATCCGTCATCTGGAAGGCTGTGCCTGAGCTTAAGAACAGAGTTACATTGTTACATTGTTCAACCAAGAGCAACCGACTTTCGGATTGCCTCCGAGACACATCAAAGCGGTGATGGGCACCTTGATGACATCACCATCCATGTGGCTATGGATTACGTTGCAAAGAACACATTGACATGTAGTTGTTTGGAAGAAGTCGTGGGACAATGAGAAGCAACAAATCATACATGCGTACATGCATACCTGCATACCTGCAAAGACACACGCATGCAATCATAGACGCATACAAACATTAGAACTTACATACTCACAAACATACAACAAACCAAGTAAATAAACAATCAAACACACAGGCAAACAAACAAAAATAAGGGAGCAAACAAACAAGCAAACAACCATACCATACCATACCATACATACATACATACATATGTACGTACGTACACACAGAAAGACACTATTGATGCCAATGTGAATGCATGAAACCATTCAGCAGTATGTTGTATAGTTTGTATTGTATAGTTTGTAGGCATCTCTGTGTGGTATGATAATGGTATTTCAATGCAAAAAGGCAACATAAACAGGGTCAATGTGATCAAAAAGACGTTGGGAATGTGTTTTGACAAAGGCGCCAATCCTTGAAGCTCTTTGAACATGACTTGATGTCCGTTTGAATGCCGCATCTTGGCATAGTCTTGGAACCACGCTTCAAGTCCAGCCGCATTATTCTGCACCACCTCCGAGTGCCTATCACCAAGGGCATGTAAGACTGCCTCACCTGGGTGCAAAGCTCCCTCAAAAACTGCGGTGTCAGATTTCAGCAGTTGCAGCACACCGAGGAGCTCCTGCTTCAAAATTACTACACATCACATTCAAGAATCTGCGCATATCAAACAACTTGTTAAACAAATCTGTTCATTCAGTTGTGTAATCTTCTGAAGTCTCCTTCATCGTAGTCAGATCGCCTGGCATCTTCTTGAGTTGCTTCTCATAGGGTGTGCACAGGACCTTTGCAGGCGGCCCACTCTCCACCTTTTCATGTTTCTTGACCAGGTCCATCCATGGCTTCATTGCCATGATTGCAAGGCAACTGGACCAGCTCAGGCCCAAGAAGCTCTTGAGCACACATACAATAACATACGTTCCTGTACGGGTTCCATTGATTTTTTTTAACATGATTTCGTTTTTTAAATCAATCGACCTGTGCCCGGCGGCTACATTGATCCTTTCACTACGTAGGGTCTGAAGATTGATTTCAAAACAGAAACTGAACATTGAAATCAATCCCCAATGTCTACGTTCTGAAGAAATCAATCGACCCGTGCCCGACGGATACATTGACTTTTATGCTGGATTTTGAAACAAAATCAATCGACCTCGTCCAGTACGCCTGATTCATGGACATATGACAAATCAGCTCGGTCCTCCAAATCCATGGCCAGATGATCCCTCCTGGTCAGTCGCTCAAAATCTTTGAAAATCAATCGACCCGGGGCCAGGGGCTACATTGATTTGTTGAAAATCAATCGATCCGGAGCCAGCGGCTACATTGACTTTCTCGATCCGAGGGGGGGGGGTACATCGACTTTCTCGATCCGAGGGGGGGGGTACATCGATTTTCTCGATCGGAGGGGGGGGGTACACCGATTTTCTCGACATCGATTTTCTCGATCCGAGGGGGGTGGTACAATCATCTGAGCTTGAGGTCAACTTGGCTGGTACCTTTCAGGTTTAGGGTTTAGGGTTTAGGATGTTCCTGGTTGAGCCCATTGCAATCTCAATGATTGTGAAATGATTTTGCCTTGACCATGGATTTGAACGATAATGAACATTGAGTAGCGCACTTTTCCACAAACCACTATGGTCGTCTTTGCCACGCAGCCCTTAGGGGTGCTGATGGTGCCAACGCGTCAAGAATGCACTTGTGCAAATTGAGCACTGGCTCTGGAACTATTCTCTCATCCCTGACTGTCAGCCAGGGTAGTGCACATGGTTCGGAGGTTTGATGGAAGTAGTCTTCGCAAAGTCGCCGCAAGTACTGTGAGGCTGGAGTGTATGATGGACCATAGTATTGTTCTACAGTCGTGGCGAGCTTCCTCCAGTCACCTTTCACATCAGCAGATACGTTTCGAAGAGAGTGTTTTCCTTCAGGGAGATCAGCAACTCGATCTGCAGCAGCTTTGGTGAGAACCAACAGCGGTCTCTGACCAAGGTCCTCTTCGCAAATGTACTTCTTCACCAAGCAAAAAATGTCCTGGCCGCTTGGTGCATTCCGGTTGGAGCCACGATCGGCTGCATTCTGAAGTGCATCAGGAAGGTCTAGGGCTGGATGTTTATTCAACCCTCCAACATTTTTTTCAACCCTAACCTTTTTTTCAACCCTCCAAGACGCTTTTTCAACCCTGGGTTGGAAAAAATGTAACCCCTACTAAATCAACCCATGGTCCTTATATTCCAACCTTTTTTTATCACCCTGGAAACATGCCTTTTTCACCCTGGAAACATGTTTTTTCGACCCTTGAACCTTTTTTTCCAACCCAGAAACATGCTATTTCAACCCTATGACACGCTATTCTAACCCTGGGTCGCACCGTGGGGGGCTGGCCTTTCAGTCCTAGGATGTAGACGCCTTCGTCGGAAGCTCGAATGATTCGGCCGCCCTATTCTGCTATCGCTGCTGGTCCTTCTCCACCGTTTTCCTTTTGCTTTGGCCTTGCTGGCTGGCTGCTGCCAACCTCCACCTGCAGCTTCCCCTGCTGCCGCTGGTGCTGCTGCTTACTGCTTTGCTGTGCTGCAGCCGCTGCTGCTGCGGCTGCTGCCGCCGCCGCTGTTGCCGCTGTTTGTGCCGGCGCTTCCTTTTTGCTTAGCTGTTGCTGCTCTGCTGGTTTGGATGCGTGCTCGTGCTCAGAAAGAGTCGGCAGCGCACGCAACATCGCCGCTCCGGGCGACATGTTCCCAGAACAAATATGCTTGGTGCACTTTTTAAAGATTGTCAAATGGTCACAACAGACCGAGCCCTCTGAAATCACGAATATCATGGCTACAAGTAGTTCCCGGGCAAGCCGGCGGCGGAAGTTTCATATAAGAACAAATTGACCTTAGGAGTGTCCACGTTCTCTCCAACATGCGCGTCCTCCAGTCAAACGCACGCGCTCCGGACTTGCGCCCCCTGCAGGATCAGCAGTTCACAACAGCGTACTGGGTTGTATCTTTGCCACGACAAGAGGGGTGTGTGACGAGTGGTGTATGACGAGTGGTGTATGATGAGTGGTGTATGATGAGTGGTGTATTGACCACCAGTTGAATGTCCTGTCCTGCATAGATACTCCGCGTACTAAAGTTGTACTACAAAGTCGCCAGTTCTCATC